AGGGGATGGAAGATAATGAGGGAGGGGATGGAAGATAATGAGGGAGGGGATGGAAGATAATGAGGGAGGGGATGGAAGATAATGAGGGAGGGGATGGAAGACATTGAGGGAGGGGATGGAAGATAATGAGGGAGGGGATGGAAGACATTGAGGGAGGGGATGGAAGATAATGAGGGAGGGGATGGAAGATAATGAGATAATGGAGGGGATGGAAGATAATGAGGGAGGGGATGGAAGATAATGAGGGAGGGGATGGAAGATAATGAGGGAGGGGATGGAAGATAATGAGGGAGGGGATGGAAGATGAGGGAGGGGATGGAAGATAATGAGGGAGGGGATGGAAGACAATGAGGGAGGGGATGGAAGATAATGAGGGAGGGGATGGAAGACATTGAGGGAGGGGATGGAAGATAATGAGGGAGGGGATGGAAGATAATGAGGGAGGGGATGGAAGACATTGAGGGAGGGGATGGAAGATAATGAGGGAGGGGATGGAAGATAATGAGGGAGGGGATGGAAGATAATGAGGGAGGGGAGGGAGGGGATGGAAGACATTGAGGGAGGGGATGGAAGATAATGAGGGAGGGGATGGAAGATAATGAGGGAGGGGATGGAAGATAATGAGGGAGGGGATGGAAGATAATGAGGGAGGGGATGGAAGATAATGAGGGAGGGGATGGAAGATAATGAGGGAGGGGATGGAAGATAATGAGGGAGGGGATGGAAGATAATGAGGGAGGGGATGGAAGACACTGAGGGAGGGGATGGAAGATAATGAGGGAGGGGATGGAAGATAATGAGGGAGGGGATGGAAGATAATGAGGGAGGGGATGGAAGATAATGAGGGAGGGGATGGAAGATAATGAGGGAGGGGATGGAAGATAATGAGGGAGGGGATGGAAGACATTGAGGGAGGGGATGGAAGATAATGAGGGAGGGGAGGGAAGACATTGAGGGAGGGGATGGAAGATAATGAGGGAGGGGATGGAAGATAATGAGGGAGGGGATGGAAGACATTGAGGGAGGGGATGGAAGATAATGAGGGAGGGGATGGAAGACATTGAGGGAGGGGATGGAAGATAATGAGGGAGGGGATGGAAGATAATGAGGGAGGGGATGGAAGATAATGAGGGAGGGGAGGGAAGGAGGTGTTTGGTATATATGGTTCACTTGTTGTGTGGTCCACTTGTTATACAGTATAAAGTATATCCTACCTGAATGTTACTTGAAAAATTACTGACATCTTAACTTCGGAAATACCAGAACTCCGGAAATAATGACCAGGGTACAGCCCCATATAGGCCGTTAAATTGAGTGGATACTGTATATATATAATATTTGTGTTCACAAATCTTAAACAAATCGTTTAAAATATTTAAACGAACTCAAATTTTAAATTTCAAAAACATTCTTCCTAACAATATACATTAGTTGTATATGTATGTATATATGTATACATCTTGTGTAGATTGCTAGGAAGAATGTTTTTGAAATTTAAGATTGTGTTTGTTTAATATTTTTGATTTGGATTTACTACGTGCAGTTATTACGAAACAAATATTTTTTGTTTTTGAAAAACAAAAACCCAACCACTTGGGCTGGACGGTAGAGCGACGGTCTCGCTTCATGCAGGTCGGTGTTCAATCCCCGACCGTCCAAGTGGTTGAGCACCATTCCTTTCCCCCCGTCCCACCCCAAATCCATATCCTGACCCCTTCCCAGTGTCATATAATCGTAATGGCTTGACGCTTCCTTAAAAAAAAATACGAAACAAATATCTCAGATGTGGATACAGAACTATGTATGTGTTAAATATTAAGGGGAATTATGCATTGGGGAAAACGCCAAAGTAACGAATATTAATTTAATGAACAAGACACAGGGCTACACACGCAATAAATACAGTTCATATAAACGGGAATGGTACTATAAAGGGTCTAGTTTGTTTATTTATATATTTATATGATTGATAGATCATCAATAACGTACAGGAAGCATGTGGAATGGACATTGCTACTGCTCCAGCATCTCGCCTAATTCTTTTCTACACAACTTCGGCCAGACTACCACTAAGCGAAGTTGCGAACCTCTCATATCACCCCTTCAGGCTCCATTGTAGCAAGGTCTACAACAGCAGCGTCACCGACCTCAGGCTGGCAGCGTCCCAAGTCTGGCTATATAGGCACCAGTTGACATCCGCTGCCAGACTGACTTCCCCAAGACTGCGTTTGAGTGCCCTTTACCCTGATAACCCCAGGGGTCCACCCACGCACACTGATTTACATCTATAAAAACACTAATTATTTAAATGCAAAGAAATTGTAAGCAAGCACTGATATAAGCTTCAGTGCTCCAGGGCTTCATGTAGGAAAAGGCCACCGAAACCGGTTCTTAAAGCAAAAGTAACAATATTAGCTCAGCATTGGCCCTAGCATTGCAACAACGGGACCTGCCATCATCATTAACACCTTGCTGGGCCTACCAACGTTTTATTTTAGTTCATTTATTATGCACCCCATACCCATCCTGTGGGCGGTAGTGGAAAGTGTTACAGAGGCACATAATGGGCTCAGGGACTGAGCCCCACAATTCATTTAGCTAAGCAAGTTACAATCTTGTTGAGCTAGTTACATAATTAAATGCACATCTTCACGCGAACAATGGGACGATGGGAACCTCTCGCGCCGTTGGGATGTCCTACTTTCACAACACGAAAGCCTCATTACAGGAGCAACAATACAATATGACTGGGCAGGCCACTATATCTTGATCAACCTCTCGCCCCATCCTAACTTAGTTTTCCGCCACCCATCCTACCCCTGTACTCAACCTCTGGTTGTGAAGAAGGTACAAACTTGTGGTTGAAGTACCACTGGCTGTGAAGAAGTACTCATCAGCACATCCTCTGGTCATAAAACGTTTAACGTGACTCCTTTCATGGTCACTGTTGTTGTTGGGTGCTTCATGTCCGGTGCATGATTAACAAATAAAAAACTATGTACCAATTATGTACTTGACCAATTAGATTAATTTGTTTTTTTTATAAACTCTTGTATATTCATCCTGTTTGAGCTGGCGGAAAGATTTAGTCACATAGGCTAAAAGGTTCAGGAATTGGTCCTTAACGTTCCTTAAGCAAAGCTATTTACTTTTGTGGTGACCTAATTACAGTTTTGTTTGCGTCAAATTACAAGGGTACTGGTCCAATTATGGAATAAATCACATAACTGCACATGGTCATGAGACAAAGCACTTAGGAGACTTCTAGGTAGTAATGGGAGCCTACTGACAGTGTGTACCTCTTCACCAGCACAATTGATGTTCATGCGGCCCTAACATGCTGAAGTAATTTGATGAAATATCTGTGCCCAAAATAGTCCATATTCCTAGGTCTTCAGTTGTTGATGTAAACAAACATCATGTGTGTATTTGCAGCAGTGTGTACTTACTTCCAAAGATAATTCATATCTTATCCAGGTGATAATGTGCAAGGTGGATGGCTAATAAATTTTAACAAATTTTGTTGTAACACAATAATTTTGGTGGCGAGGCATCATAATTCGTCACTATGATGTGACTAATAAAGCTATATGATTTTACCAACTGTGTAATACCATAATTAAGCACGACGAAGAATATTAGGCCTTTGGAGAGGTGACAGGAAATGTCACAAAGAACAAAGAATACATTACAAAGAGATCTATATAGACTCAAATGTCAGAAGACTGCCAAATGCTTTTGAATACAGTATTAAAAAAAGCAAAACCGTGCATGTAGGGTCGGTTTGGTGCCCTCTTTTGATAATTACTTACTTGCATGTAGGGTATAACAATGTACATTCCAATTATCATATCAACAACACTATGCAAGCATGAACACCTCACCTGCAAAAGGACATACATAAAGTGATATGTTCCACTTGGGGCAAACGGGAGACATCTCCCGTCACGCAGGGTGCAGTCGCACCTCCACAGATCTCCAGTATCGTCTATTGATACTGATAATGGCTCAAAAGGGCCACCACTTACGGGCTATTCATGCCCGTGCCACCTTTTGGGTGGCTTAATCTTTATCAATCAATCACTTGGGGCAGTAGACGTAGTTGCATAGCTTAGTTAAAATACCCTAACTTATCAAACACTTAATTATACAAGCCAATGTTTAAGGTTTATAAGGTTTAAATTCACTCTGCACAAATATGAGTTATGGGAAAGCTGTACGTTTACTAAGTACTAAGTAAGATGCAAATCATCAAAGTTCATCTTTAAATTGTAAAAGTAACACTAAAGAATTTATTACTTGTAACTATATTTAAATAGTTACTATATAAGTTACTTTATGTAAATTATTTTAGGTACTATTTAATAGTTACTATACAGTATTTGAATATGTAACTATATATAATTAAGAATTTATAATGTTTAACTATATTTAAGTAGTTACTATACAAGTTACTTTAGTTACTATATTTCAATAAGTAACTATATATATTTCAGAATTTATTTCTTGTAACTTTAAAGTTATTAATAAATAAGTCCTTGCATAAGATGAAATCATTATAACTATATAATGTATAATAAAAAATGGTAAGGCCAATTATAACATGATGCTCAATAAATACAAAATACAGTTCAGAAAATACTGTAGTAATTGTTACAAAACTGTCAACAGTAATGGATACATTATAAAAGATAAACAACAGATAATTTGAAGTCATTTACTTTTCATAGCAAGATATAGCTGATTCAGAAACTTTGTTTTTAAGACAAATTAAAAAAAAACATGATGTTGAGAATTACTGTATAGAGGTGACATGTATATTGGCAAAGTAGGAAAATTAGTAAAATACATATACAGTACTGTATATCATTTGAAATTTGAAATTTTAAGGCTAAATTTATCATTAATCATCCATAAAGGTCAAAGAAGACTAAAGTATTTTAAATTTGTAATACAGACTATGTAAACAGGATGGTGGCTCTAATTTGAGGATCTTTCAGGAGTGTTTACTGTGTAGAAAGCAGCAACACCAGCTCAGGATGGGACCAATGCCACAGCTCTCCCAGGGACCATATGTAGCTGTTCCCATGGTTCCCATGGACGACACTGATGGGTAGGTATATATTGTACGATAATTTGCTTTAATTGTTATTCTTTCGTAACTGTTCCAAAATAGTAGTACAGTAGTAGTTCTGGATTTGATAGACTTGATTTATAGATAATACTTTGCCTGTAAGGACCTTTTCAAATGCTGTTTAGCTTTGATAAATCCCCTACAAGCAAAATTTCATTTACAAATAAGTCTACTCTAAACTTCTGTCTGTTTCTCTGTCATTGTCATCACCTTGTGTTGTGTTCAACTGTATAGAGTATTTACAGTAACTCTGGGTATCAATTTCAGCCCATATTGTATTGACTTTTTTCATTCTTTTAATTTACTTTCTTTGAGTGACATTACTTAATTAAAACTTACATGAAAACATATCTCGTTTGATTTATTTTTTAGATTTTTATGTTCATCTCAACTGAGAAAACATTTATTGTATTTTGAAAATTAATTGTAATATTACAGTAATGATAAAGCATTAAATTTATGTTATCTTTCAGAAAGAGGAATAATGAAACTAATGCACTTGTCAGAGCAGTTAATCTAAAAGTTTATCAGCTGTGTCAGAAATTAATAGAAGATGGTGAAGATGTTAAATACATAAATGAAAAAGATGGGTCAACACTGCTTCATATTTTGGCTGAGAAATACTCCAAAAGAGAAACCAGAGCTCAGAATATACCTTCTCTCCTACTACAGCATGGAGCAGATGTAAATGCTATGAACAAGAAAAGAGAAACCCCTCTCCATATTGCAGCAAGAGAGGGTCTTACTGACTTTTGTGCCGTCTTGTTGGAACATCAAGCTAAAGTAGACATAAAAAATATGAACCAAATGACGCCTTTACATTTCGCTGCTCAAAAAGGGGAACTTGACACTTTGAATTTACTGATACAAAAAGGAGCTAATCCCAATATTAAAGACAACCAAAAATACCTTCCACTTCACTATGCTGCTGAATGTGGTTATCATGAGTGTTGCAAGGTGCTTGCTTCTTTTTACTCTGTTGGTAGAACTCAAGACAGGCAAGATATTCCACCTGTTATGTTGGCAGCAAGGAAAGGTCATTATCGATGCTATAAAGAAATGGTTGATGCTAAAGCCAACATGAATCTCGACTACAAAGATGGTGTAGGCAATACAGCACTTCACATAACAGCAAAGTTAGGATTTGAAAAGTTTGTTGACTTACTCCTTGAAACAGGTGCTCCTCCAGACATACAAAACAATGTTGGGAACACACCAGTAATGGAAGCTGTCATAAAAAATAAAGTAAATTGTGTAAAGGAACTGATAGAGAATGGAGCTGTAGTTAGTATCAAGAATAATGCTAAACGCAGTGTTCTTCATTTGGCTGTTGCAAAAAAGGCAGATGAATGCATGGAATACTTGCTAACTATTGACAGAGTAAAGGACATATTAAATGAAAAAGATAATGATGGCTTTACAGCTCTTTTCATTGCAGTAAAGAAACACAGTGAAAACTGTGCAGTTTTACTTTTGAATGCTGGTGCATCACCTTCAGTTAAATCCCAACACAAGTTATGTCTTCTCCATCTTGCTGCAGAGAATTCTAAACCAATATTTCTAGAAAAGCTTCTAGCAATGCGTGTGTTTGATGTAAATGTCACCAACAAAGATAATGAGACTCCCTTACATATGGCAGCCCGTGCAGGTTCCAGGGAGGCATGCCAAATGCTTTTCTGGAAGGGTGCTCAAGTAAATGCTGTAGACAAAAATGGTAAGACAGCCTTGCACATAGGTGCTTATCATGGCCACTCTAGCATAATCAGGCTACTCATAAAGAATGGTGCAAATAAACGTGCTAAAGATGATAGCAATTCTACAGCCTTACACGCTGCTGCAGCTAAGGGAAATACAGAGTGTTGTGAAATACTGACTGATGCTGATAAGTCACTCTATAAAGAACAAGACAGGAGTAAAAAATATGCTCTAGATATTGCTTTTCTTAAGGGCCATTATGAGGTCTTTAAGCTTCTGCTACAAAAATTGCCGTATAGAAATATCGACAAAATGCCACAAGATCTGCAAGAGCATCTCCACTCCTACACACATAAAGCACTCAAAGATAGAAAAAAGTAAGTTCCTTATCTGTTCCTGATTAATTTTGGACTAATAAATATAGATATCTTAGTAATATCTGTTAGTGAAGTTTAATGTTGAATAATATAATGATACTCTAAGGGCTCATTCTTTTACAGAATTTGTAAATGCATGAATATAATTTTATATTATACTGTCTAAGCTTAGTAATCCAAATCATATGGGGCTACCCCCATTTGAATTAACTGAATATTCAACTTGGACATTCCTGGTAAGATATTTGACCGAAAATGAAAAAAATTGCAATTTATGGGATTAGGTCCAGTGGTTTCCCTGAGATGGCTCCCCATTACTAGGTCACATCAGTTGCAGGAGTCATGTTTGGTCTAACTTTCTTGTAACTTCAACTGTCTACTGTCTATTGGGCACCAGAGCCAAAACCTGGCCCCCCACCCCCTCACAGAGGCACATTGAGTAAGGGGCTATTATCATCACCTCTCACTGGGAAAGCATCCAGAAAGTCAGCAAAGCTTTAATGACAGTTGTAAAATTCATAGATAATGAAACATAGAAACTGCCAAACGACTTGATGTTGTGAGCCAAGCCTGGAACCCTAGCCCACAGCCATTTCCAGTGATCAGTTCTGTCACTAATGTAGGTGACACTACTTGTAGTGCTCTTTGAGTCCACCTTCACAAAGGGTCCCTCCGCTTTTCAGCTTAGTGCTAGCCATCCTTTGCACTTATCTTTATGGATGCCTTGTGTCTGGGTTGGGGGCTTCATGATCAGTGCTCACCAGACTGCCCAGAGATGGTGGTCATGCCCATTTCTTCAGGCGCATAGCACTGTGCACGAGTTTGCAGTTGTGTGGCATGCCCTGCGGAAGACTCTGCTTCACTCCGACTACTACAAGGTGGTTCATTGTCTGAACCGAGGCAAGTCGTTTTGATCCATTGCCCTGTGGAGCTGGCTTCTCAGAGTATGGTTCTCTGTGCAGTTCATATGCAGGGTGTGTCTAATATTCTTATAGATGGGCTATCTCACTTCCATCCCATTTCCACAGAGTAGACTGTCAGCAACACATCATTCCATTGGCTTCATGAGATGTTCATTTGCGCTGGGGTGGACCTCTTTACATCTGGGTGGAACCACCTTCTTCCTTCCTATGTGGCTCCAATCACAAGGCTCTCACATTCGATGCCTTTCAACTGAACTGGTCGAGGCATTGGTGCATTTACCTGAATTTACCTAAGGGCCACTAATACTAGTGGCCTTTACGAGGACAGGAAGCTGGCGGCTTGTCAAAGGTCCCCCATTTGCCCTGATGATCTTTTCTATCCATTTTTAAAACCCAGCAGTTTTGGCGTTTACGGCTTCGGCGGGAAGGCAGTTCCACAGGTATACAACCTTATGGGTGAAAAAGCACCACCTGTTTTCTGTCCTACCTTGTGACTTGTTGAGATTAAACCCGTTGCTGCTCGTTCATGTTACATCTGACCTTTTGAAGAACATGTCGGGATTGACATTGTCCAAATTGTTTAGTATTTTGAAGGTTTCTTTTTGTCCTTCATGTCCTTTTTGTCCAACATGTCCTGAGCTAATATTTGGGCTCAGGTTTTGGTGTTCTAACATGGTTCTGGCAGCCATTCAGTGTTCCTAGTCCAAGTCAGTCACGTGTTGCTTTAGGCTGTGTCTCCCGGCCTGGGTTCCCTTCATTCTAGTGCCTTCCACCTCTCCTCCTTCCTGGCAAGTCTTGTTTTGTTCTTTGTGGTTAGTTAGCTTCAGGGAGCCATTTGGGGGGCCCATTCCAGAAACCCCGTGTTGAATGTAATGAAATGTCTCTTTCTTGAGGATATCCAATGGCTCTACGATTTCCTTCCCCTCCCTCCAGGTTCATTGGTTCATTGTTAGGTTGTTCACCACCTCCCAAACTGACTAGGAGAGCCGGTTGACAGCTGGGGCCGGAATCCTTGGTGGGGGTTATTGGTACTAAGAGGTTTCAAGCTAGTTTGAGTTGTTCTTGTGTGAATCAATTGCAGAATTGTTTGGCAGTTTTGAGGTTCTATTTTCTGTGAACCATCCAGTTGTCTGTAAAGCTTCGCTAACTTCTTGGATGCTTTTTCCAGTGTGGTGGTGGATTGTCACTTGCTACCTGTGCTTCCATGAAGGGAATGGAGCCAAATTCTGGCTCTGGTCCCTGGTAAGCTAAATAGAATCTCCGAGACTGATGTATGGAGCCATCTCAGTAAAATAGCATCAGGGAGCCACCTGGGTTACTTCAGAAAGGGGCATTTAATTACATTCAATGTTTTTTTTATGTAATTGTTTCCTTTAATTGCTTAGAAAATTACAAAATCTTTACAAAAATACAGTACAGTATTAAAATAATTTAAAATACTGAAATATTGTATTACTTAAAAATCCAATGCATAATTCAGTTTATAATATTATGGGATATAATATTGTACTAAAGAATTACAGGTATGATAGAAGTTATCTTAATTATAGGACAGGTGTGGAAGCCATTGTGGAGAGTAAGTGGTGGGCAGCAGGATTTGGTGGCACCAAAAAGCATGAAGGAGTTCCATGTCCTAACTTCAGAGATCTTATAAAACTTTACCCATTCCTTGCTTTGAAAGTGATGGATAATTGTACTTCAGCATCTGACACCACAACCAGTTCAACCTACTATGATTTCAGAATATTTGAGGATAATTATTGCATCACTGAAGGTAATACTATTTATAAATCATTGTTTACTTGTCTGCACTATACAGTAATAAAACAAATACAGTTTACAATTAATAGGCATTAAAATACTGTATGTAGCACTGAAGAATTTTCTTGATCCAGCTAACACTATACCCTGTACTTTGCTATTCACTCGTCTATCCATATCTTATGTAAGTTGTCTTTGCCTGCGGATGTATTACTTAAAACTACCTCAGACATAATTATTGGGGGTAGGGGGAAAGGGGAATTAGATGGGAATGGAATGAGGAGAGAGAAATTAGAAAGAGGGGTGGAAGGGGGTTTGTAGTGTGGTGGCCCAGTGGTACAGCACTCAGCTTTGCAGCATATATATGTATATTTTTTTTTTTTTTTTTTTTTTTTTTTTTTTTTTTTTTTTTTTTTTTTAGATATATACAAGAGTTGTTACATTCTTGTACAGCCACTAGTACGCGTAGCGTTTCGGGCAGGTCCCTGGAATACGATCCCCGCCGCGAAGAATCGTTTTTTCATCCAAGTACACATTTTACTGTTGTGTTAAACAGAGGCTACAGTTAAGGAATTGCGCCCAGTAAATCCTCCTTGGCCAGGATACGAACCCATGACATAGCGCTCGCGTAACGCCAGGCGAGTGTCTTACCACTGCACCACGGAGACTGTTAATTAAGTTAAGTTACTGTACATACATACATAAACACACATATATACAGAGTTTAAAAGTTGGTTTAAAACCTAACTACACAAAGCTGCTGAAGAAATACAAGAAAATTCACTTTCACAAACAGAATGGTAGACTGTTGGAACAAGTTAGATGAGGTGGTGGTGGAGGCCAAAACCGGTAGTAATTCCAAAGTGTTATATGACAAAGAGTGCTAGGAAGACGGGACACCATGAGCGTAGCTCTCATTCTGTAACTACACTTAGGTAATTACACACACACCATATATAGTTAGGTATATAATCCTAAACCATTATGTCATCCTTCTGTATTTCCTTGATAAATGTGTTGAAACATGAAGACATTCGGAACTTTCGTTTCATTTTCCAAGTGGATACTTACGCATACATGTGAATCAACGCAGCATGGGTTTGTTGAACAGATCCTGCCTTACTAACCTGCTTACTTTTCTGGAAACGGTAACTGGCTAGTCAGACAAAGGACTTCGGGTAGATGTAGCTTACATGGACTTTGCTAAAGCTCTTGTCACGGTACCACACGAGAGACTGGCAAGGAAATTACAGGCACATGGAATAAATGGAAGAATACTGGAATGGATAAAACAATGGTTAAAACATAGAAAACAAAGGGTCATGCTAAATGGGAATGAATCTGACTGAGAAAATGTGCTAAGTGGGGGTCCCACAGGGGTCCATTTTGGGGCCAACTCTTTTTGTCATATACATCAATAACTTAGATGAGAATATTACAAACCACATCATCAAATTTGCAGATGACACCAAGATCTATGGTAAAGTGGGAAGTGAAAGTGATATCGAGACCTTACAAAGAAATCTGCATGAACTCCACAAATTAAGCAGCTTTACTCATATCTAGCCAAACTCAATATACTTAGCCCTTGCCAATATGGCTTCAGACCCAAAAAAAGCACTAACGATGCACTTATTAGTATGCTTAACTCGATTCATACAGCTCTTGATAAAAAGGAGTTCCCTGTTGGGTTATTTGTGGACCTGCGTAAAGCTTTTGATACTGTCAACCACCAAAACCTTCTTCTTAAATTACATCATTATGGAGTCAGAGGACACTCCCTACAATACCTCAAATCCAACCTTACTGACAGGCTCCAATATGTTTCTGTGAATAATACAAATTCTCCCACCCTACCCATCAACATTGGTGTTCCTCAGGGCAGCATACTTGGCCCTCTCCTCTTTCTCATCTACATTAATGACCTTCCAAATGCCTCCCAACACCTCAAACCAATTCTATTTGCTGACGACACAACCTTCATTTACTCCAGTCCTGACCCCCTTGCTCTAAATGCCACAGTAAATACTGAGCTAAATAAAGTCCATCTTTGGCTAACTGCCAACAAACTCACCCTTAACATTGACAAAACTTTCTATATTCTGTTTGGCAATAAATCCTCTAGTCAAATAAATCTCAAAATAAACAATACCCAAATTTGTAACAAATTAGATGGCAAATTCCTTTGCATTCTCATTGACCACAAGCTGAATTTCCAGGGACACATTCTAAATATATCAAAAAAAGTTTCAAAAACTGTGGGCATTCTTTCTAAGATCAGATATTATGTACCACGCCCTGCCCTGGTGACTCTCTATTACTCCCTTATCTATCCATATCTCAACTATGGTATTTGTGCTTGGGGCTCTACTACCCAAAATCACTTACGTCCTCTAATTACTCAACACAAAGCTGCTATTAGGACAATATCCAACTCTGGCCCTAGACATCACTCGGTACCCCTACTCAAATCTCTGAATATGTTAGACATTAAGTCACTGCACATTCTCTCATGTGTATTATACATATATAAAACGCTAAACTATAATGCCAATCCTGATCTCAAAAGCTTCATAGAAGGTTGTAACAGAACCCATGAGCACCACACCAGAAATAAATACAGTTTTGATATTCCTAGAGTACGACTTAATCAAACTAGAAATGCTCTACAAATCAAGGGGCCCAGAATGTGGAATGACCTTCCCAACCATGTTAAAGACTGTACCTCTCTCAACCAGTTTAAGTTAAAAACGAAGCTATACCTAATAAATTCCCTGTAACCTACCTTACCCTTCTATTGTCAACCAATGTCTGTTTTTCTTTAATGAGCGCTGTTTGTCGACTTAATTGTATTTGTGCTGCTTTTTCATCTATGTTTTCATTTCTTGTTTTCATTCTACTCATTATGGTCAATTAGTATTAAGCTTGTCATTTAAGTTTATCATGCCCGAAACGCTTTGCGTAATAGTGGCTTTAGGCATTGTATGTACTAGCTCTACCTATAAGTCAACCAATCTTTGTAAAAATTTATTGTATGTATGTACCTTACCTAAATAAATTATTTTATTTATTTATTTAAATGGTCAGATGACTGACAAATGCTCTTTAATGTTGATAAATACAAGACCTTGAATGTGGGGGCATAGCAATCCACGTCACAACTACCAAATTGACAATACTACCTTACAGCAGATATATGAAGAACAGGACCTTTTATCAGAATCCATCATTCACTAAAAGTTGCACAACAAGTGGGAGCGGCAGTAAAAAAAAAGCAAACCAAACCTTGGGAATAATCAAGCATACCTTTACCTTCAAGGAAAAGAAAGTAGTTGTTCAATTGTATGTGTCTCTGGTGCACCCCCACCTGGATTATGGCATCGAGGCATGGAGACTTTATCTTCAGAAAGACAGCTGCTCTGGAGAAGGTGCAACACCAGGCAACAAAAATCATACTAGAGATTAGTCATCTCTCGTATCAGGAACAGTTGAGGGTCACTGGGCTAACAACACTGCAGACCAGGCATGACAGGGTGGCTCTCGTAGAAACCTTCAAAATACTAAACAATTTGGACGACGTCAATCCAGACACTTTCTTCAAAAGGTCAGATGTAACACGAACAAGGAGCAATGGGTTCATGCTCAACAAGCATGAACCCATTGAACTACTTACAGTGTAATGAGTAATAGTAGATTATTATTATCTGAAGGTTAATGGAGTACAATACTGAATATTTATTTTTATGTCTTTACAGGTAAAAATGATTTAGGCACTAGCCAAACAAGTCCGTTTGATCCTAAAACTTGGAAAGTGCTAGCCTCTGCTAAAGAGTTGATATCAGATACACTGGTATGGAAGCAAGAGCATCCTGTGAGAATCATGGTACAGCACAGATGCTTAGATCTTCTTCAACATTCCCTAACTGAGGCATGGATCCAGTATAAGTGGGGATCATATGCCAGGCTCCTGTTTACAGTACTTTTTGCACTTAAGGCTATCTCAGTTGTCATCCTTGTCAGCTTTATGATAAATGTCAAGTAAGTTATCTTATGTCACATTTACTGAAACCTTGTGTTGTATATAATTTAAGTGATCATTTTTATTATCTAAAGTGCATTATTTTCTTTCACTTGATTCAAAATTGCTTCTGTCAAAGCTTATGTAAATTTCACCACATATTGCACTGTATAAATTTTCTATATATTACACAATAATTGGAAAGACTGAATGGAGACAGGCCTTGCCTTATTTTACAACCCGGCTGTCTTAATTAATCAATTTACCTGAAAATAATGCGTACAAGTTGAGGACAAATGTAAACGAGATAAGGGGTTACTTCATACTTAAGCTGTCACAGAATTGTGGTTCTTTACTCTCCTAAGTTCTCTTACATTTAATTTAGTAAATTAGCTACTTGATATTATTTTGTTATCTTTCAAATAGTTTTGTGCAGGATGAGTTAAAATATATTTTTCTGGCAGGGACCCCTCAGTAGTTCTCCAGCACCTCAGCCTCTGAACATGCAAAATCTTTTAGTTTTCTTCCTTCTCGGAGCAGTTGTTCATCTGCAACATAGTTTCTGGGGTATTGGGAGTCTTCTCCTTGGTATTGTTGAAAAACAGATACTTTTCCATTTCTTATCAGCTATTGTTAATAATATTTTAATAAATAAATATCTGAATTAGTTCACAAAATGCACTGTACATGCAAAAAAAGTGTGCTGATTGGAGTAGCATTCTGGGCCATGTGAAGGTTTCTGTAGCACACGCCATTTGGCAAGTGAATGTAAAGATAGCATTGTTTGCAATATGGGAAATGATGAAGCTGGTTCATATAGCAGACCCAGATACAAAAATGGGGATTTAGGATGCCATTCATAAGATATGTTGTTTATAATTTGTGAACCCTCTTTTACTAATGAATCTGTTCATAGCTTTGTTGGAAAACAAAAAACAGTAGACGAATTACTGCACCATCCTGGGATGTCTCATCACAGAGGGTGTTCTGATTCATCTTTGGTTTATCTAAAACTAAGAGCCAATCCTTTTTTTTCAGATAAAGTGTAGATTCTCCACAAGTTTCAAATGTGTAATGATTGGGATAGGAGGAGAGATTTGACTACTATATCAAGTTTTACTTGACTTATACTAATGCATATCTGAAATACAAAAACAAATGTCATAGCAAACCAAAGCAGAAATTACAATTATCTTAATAATGAAAGATCAATTAGGTAACCAACTGTATGGGTCTCTTAGAAAATATAAACGCCTTGATATAATATGATATAAGATCATTATTACTAAAAACTAGGGGATTAACATCAGATATATCACACTTGACTCAATAAAAATTACATGGGTAATATATCTTAATATTTCATTAAGCATTTAACGTAGACATACACCGATTCTCCTTCGAGTCTCCTAGGCCCAGGTAAATGGAATACCTAGATTAGCCTATGCCCGTCCTATACCCCAGACCATACCCTCCTGCAAAGTTGGGTGAAACGTGCCTCAAGTGTCTGGCCTCCAAATTTATACAAACAGATTCTTTCTTATAGTGAAGATGTATCAATACAGATATTCATTCTTTTTTTAGGAACTGGAAGCATATAACAGACAAATACAATATGTCAGAAGAAACGTTCTGTGATGCAGTTCTGAAGTCTCCCACAGTTTTGTCAGAGGTCAAGGCGGCAAACACAACAGAGGACACAACTGAATCTCTGACTATAAGATCAACAAATGAAGCTTCTGAGTGGAATCCAACTCCATCTCATATAAGTCATAGCTTTCTGCTTTTTTCACTGGTCCTACAAGTCTTCTTGGAAATAAACAGTGCAATGAAGGTAATTTAAACTGCAGTTAGTTAACATATTCAATATTACTTATATTTAGTCAATCTGTAACTAATTTAGTGCAGTACATTAACAAAAGATTTAAATATATGTATAGTGATATATTTAAATACTCTGACTTCTAATGTGATCTACAGGGTAATCCAAACATAATTAGCTTAAGAATATCATTGCTCTATGATCTGAAAATTATTTGGATTAGCCAGTGCCATTCTGTATGAACTTGTAGAACAGAAGTCTGGGTTGTACAGTTGGGTTTGTTCTCGGCTCATAATCGAGAATCTTGGGCGGGCCAGAAATGGTTGGGCGTATTTTCTATTGCCTCATGCCCCTGTCCAACTAGCAGTAAAAAGCGTTCAATTTTGTGAGAACATTTCAAAGTATCGTAATGGATTAAGTCCGGGTATTTGTGGGACCAGTAATCCAAGTACAGTAATACATAATCTGTGATACAAATACTCTTGTAATAGTGTTTTTATAAAGTAACTTTCAGACCTGAAATTAAAACTCCATTGTAATTCTAAACGTTATTATTTTCCTTGTTTGTATACCTAATTTTGTTTGGCCTCTAGGAGTGAGGAGGGTGTGTACCTGTTCAAAGACAGGTGTGGGATGAACAAATCCACGAGGGCCATAATGAGGGTTCGAACTTACGCCCGGGATGATCCCAGATGCTGCCTTCCCTCATCACAGCCCTTGTGGATTTGTTCATTCGATACATCACGCTATTGTGATTTCTGTGTGTACAAGTGTGAGATGATTGACAAAAAGGATTAAGACCAGACCCTAGTGTACCTTTATGTTTTATGCAGTAATGGCCGGGTTTTGATAGTTTGTACTCTAGTGTATGGCTTAGATGCTCTTGCCCTTACACGGGGGTCTCGAGCTAAGCCAATAGGAGCTTAGTATATTATGTTATGGTATCTATTTATTTATTTATTTACAAGCAAGATGGTTTATTTTGTACAAATCCTTCCAAATTCATTATTATTAGTATTTATTTATTACAGTATTATTTTTATAATTTTTTTATTGTTATTATTATTTTGACAGCTGAAGTGGCATTATCTTCATAGCAATTTCATTTTTGTACGACTCCTGTGCATAGTGTTAACAGCCATGTTGCTCATCCCAACCTCCTACTGTGATTTCATGCTTGGCATCAAAAAGGTTTCTGTAGCACACGCCATTTGGCAAGTGAATGTAAAGATAGCATTGTTTGCAATATGGGAAATGATGAAGCTGGTTCATATAGCAGACCCAGATACAAAAATGGGGATTTAGGATGCCATTCATAAGATATGTTGTTTATAATTTGTGAACCCTCTTTTACTAATGAATCTGTTCATAGCTTTGTTGGAAAACAAAAAACAGTAGACGAATTACTGCACCATCCTGGGATGTCTCATCACAGAGGGTGTTCTGATTCATCTTTGGTTTATCTAAAACTAAGAGCCAATCCTTTTTTTCAGATAAAGTGTAGATTCTCCACAAGTTTCAAATGTGTAATGATTGGGATAGGAGGAGAGATTTGACTACTATATCAAGTTTTACTTGACTTATACTAATGCATATCTGAAATACAAAAACAAATGTCATAGCAAACCAAAGCAGAAATTACAATTATCTTAATAATGAAAGATCAATTAGGTAACCAACTGTATGGGTCTCTTAGAAAATATAAACGCCTTGATATAATATGATATAAGATCATTATTACTAAAAACTAGGGGATTAACATCAGATATATCACACTTGACTCAATAAAAATTACATGGGTAATATATCTTAATATTTCATTAAGCATTTAACGTAGACATACACCGATTCTCCTTCGAGTCTCCTAGGCCCAGGTAAATGGAATACCTAGATTAGCCTATGCCCGTCCTATACCCCAGACCATACCCTCCTGCAAAGTTGGGTGAAACGTGCCTCAAGTGTCTGGCCTCCAAATTTATACAAACAGATTCTTTCTTATAGTGAAGATGTATCAATACAGATATTCATTCTTTTTTTAGGAACTGGAAGCATATAACAGACAAATACAATATGTCAGAAGAAACGTTCTGTGATGCAGTTCTGAAGTCTCCCACAGTTTTGTCAGAGGTCAAGGCGGCAAACACAACAGAGGACACAACTGAATCTCTGACTATAAGATCAACAAATGAAGCTTCTGAGTGGAATCCAACTCCATCTCATATAAGTCATAGCTTTCTGCTTTTTTCACTGGTCCTACAAGTCTTCTTGGAAATAAACAGTGCAATGAAGGTAATTTAAACTGCAGTTAGTTAACATATTCAATATTACTTATATTTAGTCAATCTGTAACTAATTTAGTGCAGTACATTAACAAAAGATTTAAATATATGTATAGTGATATATTTAAATACTCTGACTTCTAATGTGATCTACAGGGTAATCCAAACATAATTAGCTTAAGAATATCATTGCTCTATGATCTGAAAATTATTTGGATTAGCCAGTGCCATTCTGTATGAACTTGTAGAACAGAAGTCTGGGTTGTACAGTTGGGTTTGTTCTCGGCTCATAATCGAGAATCTTGGGCGGGCCAGAAATGGTTGGGCGTATTTTCTATTGCCTCATGCCCCTGTCCAACTAGCAGTAAAAAGCGTTCAATTTTGTGAGAACATTTCAAAGTATCGTAATGGATTAAGTCCGGGTATTTGTGGGACCAGTAATCCAAGTACAGTAATACATAATCTGTGATACAAATACTCTTGTAATAGTGTTTTTATAAAGTAACTTTCAGACCTGAAATTAAAACTCCATTGTAATTCTAAACGTTATTATTTTCCTTGTTTGTATACCTAATTTTGTTTGGCCTCTAGGAGTGAGGAGGGTGTGTACCTGTTCAAAGACAGGTGTGGGATGAACAAATCCACGAGGGCCATAATGAGGGTTCGAACTTACGCCCGGGATGATCCCAGATGCTGCCTTCCCTCATCACAGCCCTTGTGGATTTGTTCATTCGATACATCACGCTATTGTGATTTCTGTGTGTACAAGTGTGAGATGATTGACAAAAAGGATTAAGACCAGACCCTAGTGTACCTTTATGTTTTATGCAGTAATGGCCGGGTTTTGATAGTTTGTACTCTAGTGTATGGCTTAGATGCTCTTGCCCTTACACGGGGGTCTCGAGCTAAATCTGAAATACAAAAACAAATGTCATAGCAGATCAAAGCAGAAATTACAATTATCTTAATAATGAAAGATCAATTAGGTAACCAACTGTATGGGTCTCTTAGAAAATATAAACGCCTTGATATAATATGATATAAGATCATTATTACTAAAAACTAGGGGATTAACATCAGATATATCACACTTGACTCAATAAAAATTACATGGGTAATATATCTTAATATTTCATTAAGCATTTAACGTAGACATACACCGATTCTCCTTCGGCCCAGGTAAATGGAATACCCAGATTAGCCTATGCCCGTCCTATACCCCAGACCATACCATCCTGCAAAGTTGGGTGAAACGTGCCTCAAGTGTCTGGCCTCCAAATTTATACAAACAGATTCTTTCTTATAGTGAAGATGTATCAATACAGATATTCATTCTTTTTTTAGGAACTGGAAGCATATAACAGACAAATACAATATGTCAGAAGAAACGTTCTGTGATGCAGTTCTGAAGTCTCCCACAGTTTTGTCAGAGGCCAAGGCGGCAAACACAACAGAGGACACAACTGAATCTCTGACTATAAGATCAACAAATGAAGCTTCTGAGTGGAATCCAACTCCATCTCATATAAGTCATAGCTTTCTGCTTTTTTCACTGGTCCTACAAGTCTTCTTGGAAATAAACAGTGCAATGAAGGTAATTTAAACTGCAGTTAGTTAACATATTCAATATTACTTATATTTAGTCAATCTGTTACTAATTTAGTGCAGTAAATTAACAAAAGATTTAAATATATGTATAGTGATATATTTAAATACTCTGACTTCTAATGTGATCTACAGGGTAATCCAAACATAATTAGCTTAAGAATATCATTGCTCTATGATCTGAAAATTATTTGGATTAGCCAGTGCCATTCTGTATGAACTTGTAGAACAGAAGTCTGGGTTGTACAGTTGGGTTTGTTCTCGGCTCATAATCGAGAATCTTGGGCGGGCCAGAAATGGTTGGGCGTATTTTCTATTGCCTCATGCCCCTGTCCAACTAGCAGTAAAAAGCGTTTAATTTTGTGAGAACATTTCAAAGTATCGTTATGGATTAAGTCCGGGTATTTGTGGGACAAGTAATCCAAGTACAGTAATACATAATCTGTGATACAAATACTCTTGTAATAGTCTTTTTATAAAGTAACTTTCAGACCTGAAAATAAAACTCCAATGTAATTCTAAACGTTATTATTTTCCTTGTTTGTATACCTAATTTTGTTTGGCCCCTAGGAGTGAGGAGGGTGTGTACCTGTTCAAAGACAGGTGTGGGATGAACAAATCCACGAGGGCCATAATGAGGGTTCGAACTTACGCCCGGGATGATCCCAGATGCTGCCTTCCCTCATCACAGCCCTTGTGGATTTGTTCATTCGATACATCACGCTATTGTGATTTCTGTGTGTACAAGTGTGAGATGATTGACAAAAAGGATTAAGACCAGACCCTAGTGTACCTTTATGTTTTATGCAGTAATGGCCGGGTTTTGATAGTTTGTACTCTAGTGTATGGCTTAGATGCTCTTGCCCTTACACGGGGGTCTCGAGCTAAGCCAATAGGAGCTTAGTATATTATGTTATGGTATCTATTTATTTATTTATTTACAAGCAAGATGGTTTATTTTGTACAAATCCTTCCAAATTCATTATTATTAGTATTTATTTATTACAGTATTATTTTTATAATTTTTTTATTGTTATTATTATTATTATTTTGACAGCTGAAGTGGCATTATCTTCATAGCAATTTAATTTTTGTACGACTCCCGTGCATAGTGTTAACAGCCATGTTGCTCATCCCAACCTCCTACTGTGATTTCATGCTTGGCATCAAAATGGTAAGAAATATCTAATTTATTTTTCTTTAATTTCTTTATTTTTTGTTTTTGCATTTGCTGAATTAAATGTTTATACATTAATTCCACTTCTGCCTTCTATCACGGCCAAATTGTAGCACCTACAACTCTTTGCAGCGAAATGGGTTGACAAAAATCACTATACAGTATTATAAAGTTATATTGAACAAAAGTTCAGCGGTAAATGTAATAAAATGTCTTTCTACTGTAGTGGGCCCCTGGGTGGCCCTTTGGTGCTTGTCGGTTGTATAGCTCTACATGTATCATGTCACACCAGGTCCTTCAGAGCCATAGATAACCTACCAGAGGCCAAAACCTAATCCAATCATATAAATGGCTTGGAGGCAGGACATAAAGAGTTAGATCTCACTCCCTGGTAGTCACTGATAGTTAAGCACTCAAAACAGGCAAGGGAGGCTAGATCATCTAAACCAAGAGAAATATCCACCAGAATGGTAGATTGCACCAAAACATGCAACGACAAGGAAAATATTATCAACCCTGACAACAAAAAACACAGTAGGTAGGTTGTTACCCATAGTAGTTACACACCTATTCTATATTTTATTTAGGCAAAAGTACTGTACATATAAAATAGGATACAAAAAGTAGTTAGGATGTATAGGGAAAGCAAGAACAGTACTACCTTCATGGAGGGCGGCAAGTAAAATGAGTAAGGGGCATGAAAAATAACGTGCGAGGACTCAAATATAATCGTGTAAGGGGCACAAACTTCTAAGCCGTATACTGGAGTACCAGCTATCGAAACCCGTCTTTTACTTCCTTACTTTCAGTATATGTACATAACTTTAAATCAGAAATACAGAACAAATGTTTATGATAAAGAAACACCTGAAGCACAAGAGTGATAGTGACACAATAAGCAGTATTGGGCAGGTCTTCACCAGGTACATTAATACTGGATTTAATGATCAGTTTACCCAAGGGAAACCCTGAGCTCCTGGGGCTGGCACCTGGTGGTGGGAGTAACTAGCACAGGTAATGACTCTAGTTGTCAAGATTGCTAATATTTTGTCTTGATGTTGTCTGTTTTGATGCACTACTTTTCTAGTTTTTACTTTTGGAGATCTAGCATTCCCTGCACCCTGTGCCTCTTTGAATTGACCAGGTTTTGTCCTCTGGTCTATGAAAAATTTTCTATGAATCACAAGAGCCTGGTGTGACATGGTACTTGTGAAGCTATCCAGGTGGCTAGCAGCAAGGAGCCACCAAGGCACACTACCCGAAAAAAAAATTACAATAAAATCATGTCAACAAATTTAGTCATCATAATTTGGGTGTGGGGGTAAAGGCTGATAAAGGGGTTTGCTTCCTGGAATCTACAAAAAAAAAAAATAATGATTCCAAAGAAAATTTATATTTCAAAGCTATAGAAAAACATATGGAGATTACAGGGAAATAAAGTACCAATTTCTATACTGTATGTCCAACTTTACGCAAAAATTAGCCATAGTTGGTGAGAATCGATTCCTAATTTCTAAGCCATACTTCTATCTATAGAACAATCCATTGATCAGAATCACATTACCAGTAATGTACTGTATTGTATAGGGTAAATATAATTTCAAAATAATTTGTAAAAGGTAGAAAGGAAACTTGTGTTAGCCACATGAAGTAATGCTGCTATGAGCGAGGTGATTTTATAATAATAATTCATTGTGTTGGGGGGAAGGGGACAGGCAGCCAGTGTTTTAGCCTGGGATTAGTTGTGGCTGAGAGATCTTGGCATCAGGAAGGAATCCTGAATATTCAAGTGAATAATCAACAACATTTAGATCTACAACTTGCATCATCTTCAATAAACTGAAATATTCTAATTCTATAATTAAATCATTACATTTTTTAAAGACATTTAATTGATCAAAATTTCCACTTTTATTTATACTATAATGAAGAAATGTTACAAGCTAAAATACCTTTAAACAATATACTATACAGCATATTTATTTGTATAAATGTATATTTTTAATTTCCAGGTACCAATTTGGCAGTGTGGTATACTGGCTCTTCTTATGGCATGGATTCAACTCATTCAAATCATCAATAAATTGCCACAGTGTTCAGTTTTCACAATCAGTACGTGGGATTTCATAAAATGTTACCTCAAAGGTTTGATGTACATTGGAATGGTGATATTACTCTTTGCCCTGATCTTTTATTTGCTCTTACAAGATAATCGTGCCTTTAAATCGATTCCACAATCATTTATGAAGACTGTAGTCTGGATGTTGGGCGACCTTGGATATGATGATACCTTTATCCAGGAACCACTTTCTTATCCAGTCCTTGTCAATGTACTCTTCTTTGTGTTTATCTGCACAATTGGGGCTTTCATTGTTACATTAGTAAAAGCTCCATCATCAAATGAAAAGGAAGTTGAATTGTTTAAAAAAGCTGCACTAGCAAATTATCTTCTAAATCTTGACGTTTGCTTTCCATGGTTTAAAAGAAAACATGCTGTGGGAATGTATAATGTTAGTAATAGGAAGCCATGGATAATACAAAAGATACAGCATTGTATTAAACCTAAGGAATCATTGGTAGTGAGCAAATTATCACAACATATTGATAAAGTTACTTTAATGAATACTAATAAATTCAAGCAAGACAATACCAAACACTGGATTGTATCAAAGACAGAAAAGTTATTTAGATTTTTCAGTAATTATTCTAATGAAGGTGCAAATATTGCATTGCCTGATCTCCAACAAGAGCATTTACAGGCACAAACTAAAAAGCTTGACCAATTGCTTGCTCTTTGTAATCAGTTAAATGAAAATTACCGTAAGCAAAATGAGCAGATACTAGAGATGAAACAACAGTTAGATAATATGAAGCAAAGATCAAGATACAGCACGAGCCCACTAAGTTTTCCTTAACATACAATACAGTGGGTGGGTTGTGGACAAAAAACAAACAAGGAACTTCAGGTACATGTACATAATCTACTGAATATAAGCAGGCTTTTTTATCTTCAGTTATTAGTGTAACTACCAAAGTCTAGTTACAGGATGAGAGCTACGCTCGTGGTGTCCTGTCTTCCAGCACTCTGTCATATAATGCTTTGAAATTTCTGACCGTTTTGGCTTCCACCACCTTCTCACCTAACTTGTTCCAACCGTCTACCACTCTGTTTGCGAAAGTGAATTTTCTTATATTTCTCCAGCAGCTTTGTTTCGTTAGTTAAAATTTATGACCTCTTGTTCGTGAAGTTCCAGGCCTCAGGAATTCTTCCCTATCAATTTTATAGATTCCTGTTACTATTTTGTATGTAGTTATTATATCGCCTCTTTTTCTTCTATCTTTTAGTTTTGGCATATTTAATGCCCCTAACCTCTCCTCGTAGCTCTTGTCCTTTAGTTCTAGGAGCCACTTAATGGCATGTCTGCACCTTTTCCAGTTTGTTGATATGCTTCTTAAGATATGGGCACAAAATAACAGCTGTACATTCCAGCTTTGGTCTAATAAAGGTCGTGAACAATTTCTTTAGTATTTTGTCATCCATGTATTTAAAAGCAATTCTAAAGTTAGAAAGTGTAGCATAGGCTACTTGCACAATGTCCTTAATATGGTCCTCAGGTGATAGTTTTCTATCTAGAACCACCCCCTAGATCTCTTTCTTTATCAGAATTCTATGAAGATTTCTCACATAATTTATAGGTTGTGTGGGGTCTATGTTCTCCTATTCTACATTCCATAACATGGCATTTATTCACATTAAATTCCATTTGCCAAGTGGCGCTCCATGAACTTATTTTGTCCAGGTCTTTTTGAAGGGCATGACTATCATCTAAGTTTCTTATCTTCCCTACTATCTTAGCATCATCAGCAAACATGGATTTATTTCCTTTAAATGCAATATTTGTGTGTTCCATCCATCATGTAATTATTATAATTCCCCCCCCCCCCTTTTTCCAATTCAATTTATGCTTTGATCTCAATTAGTTTTAAGTTTCAGTCTAAGTTTGTTTCCATATCTTGCCCATAACGCTGTGTGTATTAGTGGCTTTAGGCATAGTAAGTAGTAGCTCTATCTAGAAATCCAACATTGTTACTCAATTTCTATGTATATATTTTTACCTAAATAAACATTTTATTTTATTTTATTTTTATTTATTTGTTACGGTGCCGCCACCAACATTAACGATCTAAAGAAGTGTGAAAAATTTGGCGAAATGTACAGACCAATTTTCCCTTCATACAGCTGTTGATGGCCAGCAGCTGCATTAAAGCACTTCTGGTTTGTTGAACGTTACTATCAAGTCTGGTAATAGTAACTAATCTCAACGTGATCATATCAACTCAAATTTATTGTTCTGTATCGAGATAAGAGTGTCTTCCCTAATCTTCACATTGCTATTCAGATAATGCTAACCATTGCAGTTTCCATCGCCAGCTGTGAGAGATCATTTAGCAAATTAAAACTAATACTTTCGTATTCAAGAGCGTTTATGAGTCCAGGTAGACTGCTCTTGCTCTGCTAGATGTAGAAAGAGAAGCAAGTAATTAAAAGAAGGCACCAAACGTAGAAAGAAGAAACTAGAATAACTGACTTCACATCACAGATCAATTTGGCATCAGTGAAAGCCAGGAAGGTGCAGTTTTAATTTTCATATGTGACTATGTGCATCGAATTTTGTAACAAGCTCATCAAAACTTACATGCTTAACTAAATGAACTTTAGGGTTCAGTCCTCGAGCCCATTTTGTCCTGTAACCCTTTCCACTTCCACCCACAGGATGGGCTTGGGGTGCATAATAAATGAACTAAACTAAACTCGTGTAGTGTCAATTTGTAAATCCAAAAGATAAATTAACTGATATTTTCTAGCTGACTTTATGATAAAGTTTCCCAAAAGATGGGTGTCAGAAGTTTGGACGGGCGCAATTTCAGTGCTTGCTATAGGCGCTGTTTTCTCTCCACACACCATTGTACACTGGGAAGAGAACCTAGAGCACATCCAGCTCCAAGCACTCTTAATTCCTGGCAGATGTACACCAAAATGTACAGACAACAATGACAAAAAACCCATCACTTAAATGAAAGCAGACTCTGGAGCCAGGGCGACGGAGACCGGACACACGTGTACCATCAGAACAGAACGGAAGGTGGGGCAGCCGGCTGACCGCAGGCCACCTCCATCTTCACACCAAACAAGTGTGGGAGGTGAGGTGAACGAGCTGGCAGTAATTTCGAGAATTTTCGATAGATTCGAAAGTTTCGTGAGAATCTTTAGGCGGTTCTCGAGGCTGGGGTCTCGTAGGAAGACAGCAGCTAGTGGCTTCAAACGAGAAGCCACTGCCAGCTTCTCGTTTCGCTGGTAGGGAAACGAGTGTTTTGTTTCAGACACTGGGTGGCTTTCCTGGAGAGGTGGCAGACAAGAATAAATTAATAACATTGTTAATCATACATACCTGCGCCTCTCCCCCCCCCATCCCCCAGGTTCCGGCACACTTTCAGATGCTTCAGGAAGCCACCGAAGCTCACCCAGAAATTGGCATTGCATCCAACTTTTTTTTTTAAATGTTGACACCCAGTTTGCCCTTTTTTTCCCCTCATTTCTGGGATTGGGATCTAACCTGCTGCTGTGGTAAAACCAACATGTGTAATGGTAGTAATACTATTTAAAACCTTCGAGGTCTCTTATGTACTTATCAGAAACAGTTCTCGCCTGTCAGGCCCGTCGTCAGGTGCCCCTGACTCTTTATAAACTTCCGCAAATCTTCGGGGAAAATGAAGTAATACCAAGACAAAATCTCTCTCTCTCTCTCTCTCTCTCTCTCTCTCTCTCTCTCTCTCTCTCTCTCTCTCTCTCTCTCTCTCTCTCTCTCTCTCTCTCTCTCTCTCTCTCTCTCTCTCTCTCTCTCTCTCTCTCTCTCTCTCTCTCTCTCTCTCTCTCTCTCTCTCTCTCTCTCTCTCTCTCTCTCTCTCTCTCTCTCTCTCTCTCTCTCTCTCTCTCTCTCTCTCTCTCTCTCTCTCTCTCTCTCTCTCTCTCTCTCTCTCTCTCTCTCTCTCTCTCTCTCTCTCTCTCTCTCTCTCTCTCTCTCTCTCTCTCTCTCTCTCTCTCTCTCTCTCTCTCTCTCTCTCTCTCTCTCTCTCTCTCTCTCTCTCTCTCTCTCTCTCTCTCTCTCTCTCTCTCTCTCTCTCTCTCTCTCTCTCTCTCTCTCTCTCTCTCTCTCTCTCTCTCTCTCTCTCTCTCTCTCTCTCTCTCTCTCTCTCTCTCTCTCTCTCTCTCTCTCTCTCTCTCTCTCTCTCTCTCTCTCTCTCTCTCTCTCTCTCTCTCTCTCTCTCTCTCTCTCTCTCTCTCTATATATATATATATATATATATATATATATATATATATGTGTGTGTGTACAATATATGCACATGCCAATCCACTACGGTCACCAGTTAGTTTGTCTTCCCTAATTCCCTAACGCATTCATAAAGACTTAATCACACTATATTTCGGCACTACCCAGCGCTGTTGCCCATGGAGAGAATTGCAATGTGTCTTCCCATCCAAGGTTGACAAATTTCACGCGACTCCCTCGGGCGACTCCCATACGCCGAGCTAATACTGTACACTGCTTGCCCTAGTGGAACACTTTTTCTAACATTTATATCTCTGAACCGCGAGCTGAGCATTTGATGTTTCTGTCGCTGCACTGAGTGGAGCACTGACTACGTCGAAATTTATTGGTACGATATTGTAAGATTAAATCAAATTTTATCTTACTGAGTGCTCCGGATTAATACGTCCTAATACCTTTCCGTAACACTGTGAGATATCCTTTCTCGAGTGATTTATCTAAAAAGTTAGATAATAGGTGACATTTTGCAATCTCCTTCAGCAGCCATGGTGAGATTAAGTCTGGCCCCACTAACTTCGTTACATCTATAGTTCCTCCAGGTGCTTTCTTACCGCTTCTACAGTAACTACACTATCATCCATCGTTTACAAAATCAATTAGAGGAATGAGGTGACTCAAACCAGAATCCTGTGAATTCAGTGGAATCCCAGGTTGTATAACTTACACTATGTCGTGGTGCAGGGGTAAGGTGCGCAGCTGGGGGTATCTGTTCGCTGGTTCAAAGTGACTCGAATCAGCAAACATTATTTTCTGGCCTTTCATCTCATGACGTAGGTAGAACATAACACTTGTTCTACTGTAAAGACCTCCTGAAATCTTTTAAGTGCCTCACATTCCTCATTATAATTTTCTGTTAGAATTCCCCTTGTTACCTCAATCTGAGTATATGGTCTCGCACTGTTGTTTTTCTCCTTATATGGCTCTAGAACACCTTTGGCTGGTCCTTAGTTTTTTGTAGCAATACCATTTTCAAATTGCCTCTCAGCTTCTCTCCTAACTCGGGGGTATTCGTTTCTGGTTCTCTTTAGTGCCACTCTATTGTCCTCTGTTTCTAGTTATCTGAGCTTTTCACAGGCCTTTAGTAGTGAATACTTTATCAAGTATGATAAAGTGGTGGTCATTAGCTCCTAGAAGCATCTCATACTCTGTCAACATCTGTCTCATTTTGGGAAGACTTCATGTATAGAGTCGGCGGTGGGTTCTCTGCTCTTACTCTTCTTGGATCTGTAATATGTTGCACAGGATGGGTTTCGGTGCATTGTCACCCACAGGATAGGTATGGGGTGCCCTACCACCCATAAGATGTGCATTACCGCCCACATGATGGGTATGCGGTGCACTACCGCCCGCAGGATGGGCATGGGGTGCTGCCCACAGTATGTGGCGGCTCGTGTATAACTATCTACATTGTTTGTATTTGCGTGGTTGCGTTGCGTGTGCGTGGCGGCGAAGGCGTGTGGCGCGTGCCAGCAGCACCAGAGTGCCGGTGCCGCCGCCTGACAGTTGACCGGCAGCAGGGCAAGGGGTCGCACGCGCGCCTGCCACTCTCGTTAACTCGCTCGTGTCGGGCACCACAGTCTACTGGTGGTGTTGACCGCTGGCTCCCCCGGGGCAGCAGCAGCCGGCGCAGGGCACGACATGCCCCCGCTTCAGTGACCAGTGTGACCGCCAGGGAACGGGCCGCAGCGGCCTGGAGTCCCAGCCGCTGGAAGTGCTGGTGGTGTATGTGTGTGAGTGTGTGTCGCACTCCTGCCGCCTCCTCCTGCTACGTGCTGCTCCACACTTCCCCGTGTCACCTGTGTCATGCTCGGGCCCGGCCTGGGCTGACACGCCCTCCTCACCACTACCGTCTCCTGTTATGGTGGTGGTGCTGACAGTCCCATCCGCTGCTCGGAGCTCCTACCTGTGACTGGTCCGTTGGAACTCACCCGCTGCTCGGAGCTCAATCCCTGCTCGGAGCTCAACTGCTGCTCGGAGATCACCCGCTGCTGGAAGCTCGCTTTTGTTAGTGAGAGTAGTGAGGGGGGGCCGTGAGCCGCTCCAGCCAGGTATGAATGTGAGACCCCACTAGCGGCGAGGTGGTGTGTCGGCTTGTGGGAGCGGGCGTGTACAGGCGGCATTGGATCCGCCCATGTCCCTAACAGCACAGGAGGTGGTGGAGCGCGCGGGCGTGGAGTTGTCTAAGTGCATCACGGGTCTTGGGCTTCGCTCCCGCAGTAGGGAGAGAGAGGTGCGGGAGGCGCCCCTGGGACCAGGCGGCACCAGTGGAGGCGGGGAGGGGGGCAGGATGGGCTCGGTGAGGCGAGGTGGGGTTATGGAGAAGGTGGCTAACGTTCTGTGTGGAAACACTGTCGCCTCAAGCGGACTCGTTAATGGTAAGACAAAGATGGACAAGCCCGTCCCCCCAGAGAAGCCCAGTCGCTTCCTGCTGGGGAAGGTGAGGAATGGCGGAATGCCCGGGCCCCCGTTGGGCAGCCCCGCTATCCCTTTCAACGGTCACCAAGGCTCGCCTCGGCCGTTGAGGGCTTCGCGGTCCCCAGCACATATCCTGAGGGGACACCGCTATCTCTCATGGGACGAACTTATCCGTGACGAAGCCTTCCTAGCTAGATTTTTCACGTATTTTTCACCCATCGAAAGGACTGTACTGGCACAGGTGTGCCTCAGATGGCGCACGGTGCTCTACCAGCCACGGTTCTGGCACGGCATACGGCCTGTCCTCAACTGCCGTGAGATGCGTCACACCAACGTCGAGCTCACCACAGACATGCGACGACGCTTCTATGTGTCGGTGCAAAAGCGCGGATTTGATTCCCTCGTCCTCATGTGTGCAAATGACGAGGACCTTATGGACCTGGTGGCAAACTATGCCGTCAACCACACCAAAGCCCTGCGCTCGGTGGCTCTCCGCTGCTCCAACATATCCGACAAAGGACTGGAAACTCTCTTGGATCATTTAAACGGCGTTTATCAGCTGGAGCTGCAAGGCTGCAACGACGTGACGGAGGCGGGGCTGTGGGCGTGTCTCAATCCCCGCATCGTCTCCCTATCTGTGGCCGACTGCATAAATGTGGCTGACGAAGCAGTGGGAGCCATTGCTCAGCTCCTTCCCTCCCTGTACGAGCTCAACCTTCAGGCCTACCATGTCACGGACGCCGCCCTCGCCTTCTTCAGTCCCGCCAAACGTCCACACTCTCAATCCTGCGGCTACACTCCTGCTGGGAACTCACCAATCACGCCGTTATCAATATAGGTTCGTATAGTTCTTGCTCTCATTCTCTTCACATGCCCAAATTGACCGTTAAACGTGCTGCCCTCATTTACCGAACCCTTGCAGAATGGTAGTTACCAACAACGGCTGTTGACGAGTCAGAATCACTGTTTAGTAACTTAAGATATTGCTTTCTTGAATTCGTGAACTTAAGAATCTGAAGTACTTCCTCCGATTATCTGTTTTTGCTGATAATTGCTCAGAGTATGATATATATATATATATATATATATATATATATATATATATATATATATATATATATATATATATATATATATATATATATATATATATATATATATATATATATATATATATATATATATATATATATATATATATATATATGACAGGAAACTGGTCGCTCTTGAGTCTTTAGTTTTCCCAATGAGGTCATCGCCCACCCTCCTTTAAGAACTTAAGTGCACATTTACCCCAGGCGCCCAGAGTCTCAGAGCCTATCGGCACGAACCTGTAACAACGTTCTAGGTCTCTGTACTTGTTGGTTTTCTACACACACACACACACACACACACACACACACATATATATATATATATATATATATATATATATATATATATATATATATATACATATATAAATTTGTGAGATATATATATGTATACACACAAAAGTCCTTCAGTTTGATTTCAAAAAGCATTCAATATTTAACGCTAATGTTGAATTTGTTGAAACAAAGTTAAATATATCAACAAGTAACAAATATTTGTTAATTAGTGAGAACAAATAATTTATTTGTTTTGGCATTCATGCGTTAAGGACATTGTTTGTAAAAATCTACTAATAATTAAATAACTAAACATGAACATTGAGAATCAATTTGTTATTTAAATTCATAGTATACCTCAGCTACATGTTTGCTTATTTGTTTTGTTTTTGTGCTCAGACCACGTGGTAGACCTAACACGTGATGCAAGGTGAATGGGGGGCGAGATATTTCTTACTGTGATTAATTAATTGTTTTCACATATAGATTTGTTCCATCCTTGCTTGAGTTGACAGGTGTTGATCACTGGTGTGTTGACCAATGTGTTGACACCTTTAGTCAAGCGTCAGTATTACTGTATTCAGGTGTGTTACTGTAGTCAGGTGTCACTGTAGTCAGGTGGCTGTTCTACTGGAGTTAAGTGTTCTAGTCAAGTGTTAACGTGTGAGGTGATCCCTGGAGGCTGACCTGGGGATCAACACGGGGCTGCATGTTGCACGTTGCATGGCGAAATATTTTATAGACTGAGCCCCTCACCAATGGCCAGTCAGGCTACTCTTAGAACAGGGGCAGACTGAGGCGTTTTACGAGCCGACCCTCTCACGGTCTATGATATAAGGATGTGATAGGAAGCCTCCTCTCCCACCCCCTCCCTCCCACATACCTTCGGAGGAATGTTTAACTTACAGCCCAAACATTTCCTTAAAAATTTTGACAAAGTTTCCTAAGTTATTTCTGGCTTGAATAAGAACGTATAGTCTTAACTAGTGTAATAATGAGATGTATTTTAAGGCAGTGACATGAACCTTATTATATTAATACACGTAGAGCCGGCGAGGATGGTCATACCATAACTAGGTCAACCCGAATTAGAAACTAAGGTTGTCCTCTCCATAGAGGCCATCACTGGACCTGAAGGCGACGTCGGAGGAATAATTCACCAAAGAGCTGAGCCCTAAAGGTGCTGACCTGAACATAAGAACAAAGGCGAGACTTTAATATAAGTGAACATATATCAAGAAGAAGGAAGGCATGAGTAAAGTGAGGAAAGTCCCTAGGTGGAGGCAGAGGGAGGACGTATAGGCCGCAGGATGAAGCGGGTGTGGGGGGTGGACAATCGATACGGGTCGTCCACGAGGCTATGACGTAAACACACGGGTCGACCCCACTCACGTGCTGCCCCGCCAACACTTGTTTACCTACTTTGTTTACACCTGTCTCTAAGGCAGAGGTGACGCTAGAGGGTGTAAGTGGAGGAGGTAAGTGGAGGGTGGAAGGAGGCATGTGGAGGGGGGAGGGGGAAGAGGCAAGTGGAGGGTGATGGAGGAAAGTGTGTGTGTGGGAGTGGGGGTGGGGGGGTTGGAGGAGGCAAGTTGGAATGCTTGTGTTTCCCGTTCGTGAGCACCGAGCATATGGACAATGTTGGACATTTATTTTGCGTTCGTGAGCAGCGCGTGTGACATGATGAGCTCTTATTACTAACACTTCGTGATACGAAATATGTAGCACATTGGCATTATTTCCATCATTTATGCAGTGGTTCTTGGTTTAGATTTCCTTTAATATTGACTCCAATAAATGGAGAAATCTGGTGTTATTGTACTGCAGAAGGTGAACAAGAGGCCTTTAACTGAAGATTACTAGCAAAACAACTGTAAATACAGATAACTTATCAGCTATATAGTAATGGGAAATAAAGGTCAATAGAAGATCAAATTTAGTTAATATCTCACTTCAAATGTTTGTATCGGTCTAAACAAATGAGCTATAAATTGGACCATCGTGAAGAGACAGATGACGTTAATAATGGTCGTCTTTTTATGCAATTTGCGTGAAGCTTTTCTCCTTCCGATAAAACTTTAAATTCGAATTCAAAGAAATGTGTGTACAAAGAGGACAAAATATAAATTATGAGGACAGAAGCTACACGAACTAATAAAGCCACTATTATGCAAAGCGTTTTCAGTAAAACTTAAAATAATTTGGAATACCAAATTATTGAAAGCTGTGTTGGGTAAACACTAAATGCTAAAAGGCAAGTTACCCAAAAATTGGAAAAATTAAAGAAAAATAATAGGTGAGTACAATAAAAAGGTGATACTTAATGACGACACTCATATATAGACTATTACATTATGGAGTCACTATAGTTCTAGCAACAGTACAGTAGTTTATTTACATTTGTAACAGAACGGAAATACTAAGCAGTAATTCACTGCTGGCCAAGTATAGAGCTACCTGCCCTATCATACTCATGCCGGTGATTAGAGCTGTAGAGCTACGATGTAAACAAACAATTAGTGGCTTTAGGTATTGTATGTACCATCTCTATCTATAAATCCAACTTTATGTTTGTAACTCATCTTCTATGTATGTACTTTTATCTGAATAAAAAAAAATATGAATTCGAATTTGAATTTGAAACCCGCGCAGGAACCACCACCGCTTCGTCTTTATTTTAGATGTCCCCCAAGTGCACCTTTATTGATTTGATTTTAATAACATTAATAATAGTAAAGTTAAACAAGTAATATATATACAGTCTGATTACAATCATTACATTTACATCAGATATTAATTTTTTCCTCATCAGCATTCTAAAATAAGTGAAAAAATGGGCATGTTGTTGTTGTTGTCAGGTCGGCCATTATTAAATTGTCGAGTATGAGCGAGGCGTCGGCCGCGGCGTCACCTCGGGAGGGAATTACGTAATTACACTCGTCACGGCGTTCATGGTAGGTGATTACCTGGATTGTTTAAAGCCTTGTGGAGTAGTGGCAAGGATTTAAATACCAGCGGGTAATGGATAACGACGCTGTCACTACGAAACGCTCGTGCCCGATAAAATCACCTGAAATATTGTTTTGTTTTGCTGATTGTAATGCAGTGTTTGTGTTGGCGGGGAGGGGGGGGGGGGGAGAGGAGGGGTCGTTGCTAAGGAATCTACGACTATGGTTGTGGAAATGGTCATTATATACCACGCTAGCGATACCAAGGACCCAGAGTGGCTATCGTGCCAAGCTACCAACATCAAGGGTCTAAAGCAGGTATCGTACCAAGCTAGCAATACTAGGTCCTAGTATTGCTACCTAGCTACTAAGCTAGCTAACTAGGTCCAGACTGGTTATCGTAGGAAACTAGCGATTCCCTGACGGATAGTGCTTATCCCTAATTTGGTTGAAGTTATTGAAATAAATATATTCATTTTTTTCGAGGGGATCTTAACACTCAAGTGGTTTGCAGGGGTAGTAGTTAAGAGCAGTCGGCCCATAGCGATTGGACCTGAGAGCAATTGTTGGGCATGGCAAGACGTTTGGGCACGTCTCCTTCCATCTGATACCTCTGTTCACCAGGCAGTAAATATAAGTTCATTGAATTTAGGGGGGGGGTGGAATCTGCATGCGGCCTTTCATTGAACTCAGTGCGGCCTTTGAAACCAATTTTAAATTCATGTGAACAATAATGAACAATAGCACTCTAATACAATTGATAACTTGCAATGCTTTAATAGTCAGACCTTAAAATGGAAAAACTATGGTAAGGAAATCTGTGATCCAGAAAATATAATAATTAATAATAGTTAATTTGATTGGGGACAGGCAGCCCATATTTATACATACGTTAGGTTTATACCGAGGCCCCCCCCCAAAAAAAAATAGAGTGAGGGGATGGGCCTCGGTAGGGGGTTGCACCCTAGGGAGGGCCACTACTGGCACTCCCAAGGGTGCAACATAACAAGCCAACTAACTCCTGAGTACCTATTTATACCGTGTATTTAAATGCATACGTAAGTTCTTCTGGATCTTAAATGTAAGCCACTGTAATGCAGTATTAACACATCTTTTATACCATATTACTATACGACACTAAACACTGTACGACTCTACACACAGCGATCACACTAACGTGATGCATCAAATGAACAAATCCACAAGGGCTGTGACGAGGATTCGAACCTGCATCCGGGAGCATCCCAGACACTGCCTTAATCGAATGAGCTACGACAGGGTTAAATATATATTTAACTTCGATGCAGGTTCGAATCCTCGTCACGGCCCTTGTGGATTTGTTTATTTGTACTACCCTAAACAAAGCGGACTCATGAAATCTTCACTCAGTAAAACATGGCATTCATACGACGAAAGGTTTGCCCGCCCCTGGCTTACCGGGGGGACGTCGATACACCCAACAGGCCTCCTGTCCCCGACAATGACAAATGGAACCAAATTCCAGGCAAATACAATGTTTACATGTTATATTGTGCAGTTGTTTGGCATTATTTTCGCAAAAAGTCCTTGTGTCTTATGTAGTTGCTG